AAGCTCATCATTCATACAGGAAGTGATGATGTTATGAACCGACAGTCAGAAATCCTGAAGAAGGATTTTATTCAGCTGCTGAATGCAGTTAAAAATCTCAACATGGATGTGTTCCTCAGTGGACCAATTCCTACAGCCAGAGGAGGGGCTGAGAGGTCCAGCAGACTGTTGGCTCTTAATGGTTTTTTGGAAAAGTCCTGTGTTGACCACTCTGTGAGATTTGTGGATAACTTTGATCTCTTCTGGGAGAGACGGCATCTCTTCAAATCTGATGGAATGGCTTTAAACTGACATGGATCGGAGCTGTTAGTTTTTCAAACATGTAGTATTACCTGACTCAAGTTCCGACTGGAACCAAACAACAGGAGAGTGATCAGCTGACGTCTGAGGCTGAAGAACCACAGAGAGGGGAGTTATTTCAAGCTGCTGAACTGGAAGAACATCTGGATTCATCAGCATCACAAACAGAGGAACCAGAAAATGGATTTCCCCAACCTGCAACTGAAGAAAAACTGACCACTTCTGCAATAAACTTCCACTCCGATTCCAGATTCTGGTGTTGTTTGGTTTTCATTCTTTCTACAATTCATTTGTTTAACATCTGTGTGTTTGTTGTCTCGAATTCAGTTTATTGAACACTAGATTTCTTACAACACTATTCCCCTCCAAAAACAACTGCCAACTCAAGCGTTTACAAACTGAAGGAAACATGACCCTGTCCTAATGACTCCAGAGAAATGTTGTTACCATCAAATTGAAATTTACCTGACACTATTTTTTTGTTTTAACCTTTATGTTTATTATATTTGCACAAAAAGTGAAAAAATTATGTTAGATTATTTATTTTCTTGTAACAATTCTTCTTGGCGATTAATCTCCTACCGTTAAAAAGCTTGTTAATTTCAATGGTGCCACATTTGTAAGGAACAGGCATTGTAGGATGAGCAGTAAAGCTGAGTATGTGGGTTGCAGACATGACAAATTTGCCAAATCCTCTGTCAAATGGTTTATTCTGATGACTCGTTTGGTGTTCAGTGGATGGGATGATTGAAATTTAAAGAAAAAAGACATGTTGTATATTTAAGTTACTAATTTAACAAACAGAAGCCTCAGTGGTGTGTGGAAGAACCATACACAGCCACCACAGCCTGGCTTGTGCTAAGTTTATATTCCTATGTGAATAAAATGTGGGCTTATAAGATTTGCAAACCATGGCATTGTGCTTTTATTTTAACATTTTGGGAACAGTGATCATATAGTACTGTGAAGAYGTGATTAGAAAGAGATACAGTTGAGCTAATTGAGAGTTTGGATCAGGTGGGGAGATGGAGATCTAGAGGATGTGACCAGAATTACAGCAAAACAATCTGCACCTTCGTCATGTCTTTCAACACAAGTTTTGACTTCTGTCTGAGTTCTGACACAATGCTGGGTCTGGCATCTCCAGCTCCCAGGCTGCTGAGTTTTATGTGAAGTGTGTCGTTTATATTCATGGAGGCGCAATTCTCTTTGCTGTCGAAGGAAGACTCCGCTTCAAGTGCTCTTACATGGAAAACAACCGTTAGACATGAAATAAGGAGAAGACAAACAAGTAAACAAGAATTACAGAAAAAAATGTAGCCACAAATGCCCTGAAACTGACACAATGATAATGTGAGTTAAACCAAAATATAACTGCAAAATGTTTGTCTTTTCTTCGTAAATCACCCAACATTCAAGTATATAAAAATAAAGAATTCTTGCCATTCACAAGGTTTAAACTAAGATCATTTTCCAATATTGAAAATAAAGGCAATACTTCATGCTAGGCTGTTATTTGGAGTTGCTAATTTGCCTGGAGTATCAATTCATAACAAAATGTTGTGTCACAGCCGTACAGACATAATCTAGATTACATGTCAGCCAAAGAGCAGAGATTAAAGCATCATCAAGAGTGATTTAGGAATGATTGCACTGATGCAGAGTTTCTCTTCAACAGAGTTTAGTTAATAAAAATGAGAAGTGACGGTTAGGAAAGGTGCTAGACTCTAAACTTTATTGCGCAAGCTGTTAAAACAAAACAGCTAATTGATTACAGGACATGATGATGTAATGTCTCTTCCTGGTAGATTTTGTTTGAATTGTATAACCTCTTTAATGGTTTAATTGTTTTCTGTGAAAGCAGCTTTTGGGACAGCACCAAGTCCAAAGAAGGCAATAAAGTAGCTAGGTTACATTCCCACAGCTGTTTYCTTTATTTACTGACAGGGATGCAAAAATGTGTCCAAATAACAAAAGTTTGAATGAAAACTACAACTAATTCTACAGAGCTCAGTTTTAAGGAGATGTTTCTTTATAGTGAAAAGGCAACAGCTCAACTTGTGTTTGTTCCATCTGTGTAGAGGCCATAATTAGAGCACCTCAACCTAACCTAACCTGTTACCTCAGAGATGAAGTGTGCTGAGCTGAAGGAGTAGAAAGACTCAGCCTTTTGTTTTCCCAGAATGAGCTGAGAGGAACAACACATTAAACAATATATATA